TTTGAATACAGTCTTCGGCATTTAATCAATTTCTGTTTTTCGTTTTTATGTTCATTAAAGTGGAAAAGCCTTGTTGCAAATTTTTTTTACCGCCTCCTCATGTGCAATTTTGAAAGCTTTTGCAGCCTTTGACAACCAAAAAGACGACAAGATTTGCTTTGGTCACAAATTGAATACAGTATTGGATGGAAGTTCAAGAATTGCCTCTGCCAAACCTGGAGGTTCTTCTGGTATGTTAGTAATTTCACATTTAAAAAGATCTACAACCCAATTCACAGTTTGTACATCAAGATCTGAAAAGTAGTTAGAGAACCGCTCTCTGAGTTTGGTAAGATGAAATTAGAAAAAAAATCATTTTTACCCCATTTTGGGTAATTTACCCCGCTGCTCTAGTACATAAACCTTCTGCTTATATTTTTTTATAATTGTTTTTATGGGTGTTCCTAAATGCATGTTATTAATATATTTACTATTTAGGATTTTATTTCTTGTACAAAAAATCTTTATAATAGAATTATTTATTTCATTTTGGACAATGTACATGCAAAATATTGTTATAATTATTATAAGATTTTGATAAAAAAAAAATGAAGAGTTGAAGAAAATCTAAATTGGCTTTATGTTGTTATTAAATTTTTATAATTGTTATTTTAAGGGTGAAATTTCTATTAATTGCAAGTTCGTGTGAAGACCTGTAAGGGGCGCCACCAACGGTAAAACCGTTTGGATCCGTTGCACTTCTATATATAGTTTTTTGGTGGATAGTTGGAGGGTGCGAAGAAGAGAGGTGGTAGAAAATATTTTCGTTCTTTTATTTTCCTATTATTTTGCGAGCAAGATACTGAGGAAGGTGTGTTGTGATTTCGGTATTTGTGTAATTCTTTTGATTTTGAGATTGAATTGATGGTAAAATTGTAAATATAATAATGTGGAGCTGAGCGCGCCGACCGTTGGCGAGTGAAGTGAGGTATAGAGACACGATCGCTGTAGGCAGAAACAAGGTATATAGGTACAGGGTTATAGGTATATAGTGGCGGAGTGGAGACGGACCTGAGCAGTGCGCGTAGATCAGTGGTTTGCAGTGGACGACGACGGATCGGATGGTGGTGCGCTTGTGGTTGCGTTGCGAGCCCCTACGAAATTCGAATTTCCCGCCGCCGAGCGTTTGGCAAGTGACTGTCGGCCGGGTCGTGTCGTTGATGTCAGTAGTGAAGGAAAATGGCCGCCAGCGACGATGAACCTATGCATCATTTATACGAAGTTTTCACCACTTGTTTTAACAAAATAGCAAACAAAGCGCCAGGTGAGTTCATTTTTCTTGTGTTTTCCGCGATCCGCGCCGCCCCCGATCCCCATCTTATACAATTTTCAAGCATTTTTCGGTGCGCGTGTAAGCCAAAACATTCACAACAGCTTGCCCCGAAAACACCGAATCCAGGTTGAACGCTCCCTCAGAACGTAAACACAACATCACGAACAGATTCATCTCGAATCCCTGCATCCCTCCACAGCATCCCCAACACCTGGACCGTTCCAGGCACCGACTCCTGGACACCCCCCATTCATAACATACGAACCTATCTTGTGTTTCCATTGTCTACTCGGTGCTCCAAGATCCTCCGAGTCATGAAAGACATCATCCTCCATCCACTAACTTCTCCCAAAACAACCCTCCAAAAAAAAAACCACACGAACCAGAAAAAAACAACAAAAACACAGTTTATTTATAACATTCACACTATATGATTTGTTTACAAACGTTCGTTTACCCCGATCAACAAAAACAATCGCGATTTAGGTTATTTTAACACACATCCAATCCAACAATTCACCCAACTCTGTTTAGGTTAACTTAACGCCAAACGATTTTCCTTCCAATAACCACATTTTCCTTCTAACGCTTACATTTTAAAAAACAATAAAAACACAACAAACTTTAACAATTCACTATCATTGTTGTTGTTTTTTTTTTCAATACACAGTAGTTCTAATAAATACTTATCACATTTCACGACATCGTAGTTCAAATAACATATAAATTTTATACATACACAACAATGATTGAAAGTAATTCAATTTACCTTAAACACATGTTTAATAGTCTTCGAAATATAATAAATTTAACTTTTACAAAGTAAAATGATTTTTATGATCATTATTATACAAAAATATTTATTTATATGATATTTTAAAACATTTGATTTACATATGATAAATAATACAACTTCAGTTTACTTTTAATATTATATCATTTTTTAATAATTAAAAAACACGAATTTATTTTATAATTATATCAAAATATTTGTTTATATAATAAATTAGAAGTTTGATAAACAAATAACAAAATTATTTTATCTATAAAAAATGTATACATTTCATTAACACACATAATCAAAACATTGATTGTAATTTAATTTATTACATTTGTTTTTCATTTTTAAGTTTATACAATAAATGACAATTATTATTATGAAATAATCAAATAAAAAAATGTAATTTATTTATCTGTTAATTATATGTGTTTCATATAAACAATGTTGATTTTTTTTTTTAAATAATTGTCTTTAAAAACAACTTCAATTTATATATTTTGACTTATCATAATTATAACATAAATTTTAATTCAAACTAAAGTTTTTTATACTTAAATTTATTAAACTTTAATATTAGATTGATTGATGGAAATAATCGAATGGTTGTTAATACTTGGATTTGTCTATATGTATTTATTTGTTTACGTGTAATAAAGGTTATAATAAACTATATAAATCAAATAAGATATAATTAAACATGTTAGCATACATAATCCTTGCAATTTTGCACTTTTTGCGAATGAAATTCAAACGGTTTTCAGTCAATTCGTTTCTAATTATGATGCATTACACAATTTCCAGCCTCGATAATTCATAATGATTATGGCATGAAATGCGCTTAGCAGCGGTTCATAAGCATTTATTTATTTATTTTTTTAATTATTTAAATCATCATGTTTTACTTTTGTTCCTCTCAATCTCGCATCGAGAACTAGTTTCAAATGATTTCCATTTAGTTCAAACGCAACAGTTGAGATATCTATTATTGTATGTGGTTCATATAAATAGCTGTAAACGGTTTTCATTAGTGTAATATGCAACTGTTAATATTCATTATTTATTAAATTTTAACGATTCGAAAATCTTAATTATTCTTCTCTGTTTTCAATATAATTAAATTGTCTTTTTATTAAAACAAATTTTTTCATATTTATTCATACTATATTTTTCAATATCGATAAATCTAATTTTTCTATTATAATTTGCTTTATTTCATTCTAATTTTAAAACTGTATTTCTTCGCATAAAAGAATGTCGGTTACATTTTTTTTTGGATTGTCCTGCAGTAAAATGCGTTTCTATTATTTTGTCCTCTCTGGTAACTTATAATTTACAGCCCAAGGGTTCTTTTTAATCCGGCAAATTGATCTACATGACAATAGAATGCATAGTTGCATCACAAAATTAAAAAAAAAAACCTACGCAAGAAAACTCCCCTATTATGTAGGAAGTTTCGGATTCAGATCGGGTATATTATATCTATTTAGTGCTAGAGAATTGTTAAGAAACAGCTATATTTCTGTTGATGTTGTAATAATATTTAAGAAACTAAATTAGAGCATCATTGAATATGGGTCAATGGGTTTTCTTTATACAGCCGGGCCTTAACTGCTGGAAGATCTTCTCATATGTGTTCATATGCAAGGAACACCGTTTTGATAAACTAATTACGCGCAGCCATATCTGAATTGGATGTGAACCACCAATAATGATTATTTGTCTTTGCTGTATTATGCATGTGCATAAAGTCAATTAGATAGTGTCGAGCGTTTGAACCACCTTAAACAATATCGCATAAATGTTTCCATTTGATTATGGATGCAATGACAATTACGCTAATAAATTACCTTCAAAGTACGCATACCGCCGCAGAGATAGATGGAGAGATCGGGAGCAGCTAGAGACGGAGAGAGCTCGACTGTAGATCGCAATTAAAAGTTACCATTAAATTTATATCCGTGGAAAGTTTTTGATCTATGCTTGGTGGCTGTACTGCATTTATCTTCGGCCATCTGCATAACAATAATTGTTGCATAATGTGCTCATTGTATGCGTGTCTATCATTCTATTTTTTTTTACATTTCGATGTCTTTTAATTAGTACTCGTTAATATGCCTACAGGAGGAATTCAAAAAATTCTTAGCTAATAAACACATGTTTGGCCGCAGGCTGTTTGCTACTGTGATTGATAGAAAAGTGCTAGAAAAAAATGCAAATATCGTTCACTTTAATTATAATTTCAATTACAATTTATAACATTATTGTTTTCATATTTATGTTCAAACTATGAAATTATATTATTCGAATACTTAGCAAGAACTGTTTTCGATGAAACAACTAAGAACTGCTAAGATTGTGAGTTTTTCGAAGCCCTATTTACTAGTCGAACATCTCGAGATTTCCAATTTTATAATTTGTACGTGCTAAAACGAGAGTTGCGGCCTATCATAAATAAGTTTATGGCCTTTATGCTAATTGCATCTGGTGAACCGTACACCGGCTCGAAGGTGTACCTGAAACTTCCATAGAAAAAAATAATAATAACTGAAAATACATTTCAAAAGGAAGTAACACCTTTTATTATCAAACTGAAGAATATCTAAAAAGCTTTCGGTTGGTTAAACGTTTACAGTTGTGATTAATGAAATGACGAAATAAGAAGTACTGTAAATGGGTGTCTTTGTGCTCTGGATGTATTTATTTTGGCCGTTCAAATGCGCAAGTGGCGGTGGGTGTTAAATCGACTTTAGATTAGTCGCACATAACGTTCTATCTGTGCTTTGGTTATCATCGCCCGATTGGTCCCATCACGTGCAGGTGTATCATTTTCCATTATCAGTGTCTGTATAGGATCGGGACGAGGAGGACTCGATGATCGACGATCCTCAAGACTATTTACAGTTCGTTTACGACATATGCATAATGCACCATTTGCATTAATTGTATTTCGAAAATGCACTTTACCAATTACCCACCATCTCTATGCAGGACTCGTTTTATGCGAATTCAACAAATACCGTCGATTATCTATGCTTAAATACTTCAAGGTGTGGAGACTCGGAGATCTGCCAGGTGTTCGGATAAAAAAAAATATATCATATGCATGAAAACAACTTCATTTATTAATCTCAAGTATTTGTTTCTTGTTTTTAATCTATCATGTATATTTTCCTTACATATCAAAATATCAACACCTGTAACTAAGTTTCAAAATATTTTCAAATAAGTATTACATCCATAATTCTCCCATAATTTTCGATTTAAACCAAATTGCATTTCCTAAATTCTTTGTAAATTCATTTACCCCAATAAATTAATTTCATTATACTTTACTAATTAATGAATGCCTATAGGTTTTAGAAATATCCAATTCATTTATTTCCTAATAATATGTTTTTAATCTATAACTTTTTTCTTACGTTAATTACGTTACGTTACAAACAATTTAGCTTAGAATTAATTTTATTAATAATAATATTTATTGCAAGAATAAATTACAAAATATAGAAAAATCAATACAATAATAAAAGTCCATAAGTTTTTCTGCCATGATTTTGTAAAGTATATGTAGCACAATTTTTATTTAAATAATTAATAGTTTATTCATATATTTCCTTATGTAAATTTATGTAGACGTTGTAATTAATGGACATGTTTTAATACCGTTTTTATAGGCTACAGTTTTGATTCTACCATTAATTGACTTAGCAGACACTTATAAAATCGTTTAAACTATGCATACATTTTGTGAACGCTTATGAAATCTTTAGCAGCGATTCATTTGAAAAAAGAAGAACCATTATTTCAAATTTCAATAATCTGGTCAAAGTTTTTTCTTTATAATTGAAACGTTTTTTTCCCCCTATAATTTTATGAATGATAAGGAAATAGGAATAACTGTTTTGATCTAATATTAATATGTATAATAAAACAAATTCTATTTACATAAGGATGAAGGATGTTTTATATCACTTCGTTTCTTTTTATTAGAATGTATGATGTAATCTTGTGTTTCTGAGAAAGCTGTCTACGGGAGAATAAAAGAAGCAGAGAAGAGTGGTGGTTTGTCAGTATCAAGTTTCAACTGTTCTGGTGAAAAAATGATAAACAAATTTTTAATTCACAATTTCCGATTATAATCCGTGCATTCTGTTAACGTTTTGCTGTAATTAAGACTATAAACTTATTCTTCCGAATTCACAAAGATTAAAAACTTTATGATCGAAACTAGTCAAATGTAAAACAGTTTTTTTTTAAGTTAAAATTATTTGCAAAATATTTTATTTTATTCGTAATATTTATTACATGAAACGATTATTTTCATATATTCGTTAATGGAGGATTAATTTCCGCGTTTATCAGCGACGCGAAATTACGCCGTGAGTCACGAGATTGGGTGACCTTCGATCATAGAAGAAGCGAGATGTAAACAGAGAAAGAGAGCATAGGATTTGGATTAATTTATTCCGTCGTAGTTGTCCACTTTTTAATCAAAAGATTGAACCATCATCTACGTATGCTTATAAACTTATTGGTTATCATTAAATAAAGTGTGGGAAAAGCCTTTGAAGGATGTGGATTCACCTTCTCATCGACTCCATTCAGATGCAAATTTTAGATCTAAATCAGAGTGATTCAGAAAATTGGAAAATTTGCCACCCTTTGTGACGCATTTAAACGAAAATAAATCTAGTTTAAATGAAGCTTAATTAGATGTAGATTCGCATTTGCACAGATAAATGCGGATTTTTATTCACAGGAGAGAAGCTTACGTGGAAATTGAATTATTGATGCGGCTTGAGCCGTGCATCGGCGATGAGTTAATAACTAATATTACAATAAATTTCCCTTTGGTCAATACAAATTGTCCGTGCTTCGTTATTTTTCACATGAAAAACGTCG